GACCTTGCGCTTGCCAGGCAGGCGCTTTTGCCGCTGAGCTAAATCCCCAGCCCCTTAAACAATAATGTTCAGGAAATAAATCATGCTGTCTCTGTAAATCTTTCAAATCTGAGACACGTCCACATCTGATAATGGGCGCTTTTCTTCCCTGAATAACTCCTACCAATGTCTGTAAAAAGTGCCTTTCTGAACAGTACTTATCCCTTGCAGTGGGATATATACATTTGGAGAGATCCTGGAAAAAAGTAAATAGCTTTTTCAGAATGGAAGGGAAAACCGATATAAAACTGTCCAGCACCATTGTAACTTGAGTTTACATAAAACAGATATCTAGAAAATGAAGTTATTATGCAACACACCAACATTTCACAGTGTGTCTTTAGCTAGTAAGGCTCTTAATGGCTTTTTATTTATGTTTAGATTCAGGAAACAGTTCTACTGGGCTTTTGAAACTCCTTGAATACCATCAGGTGAAAACAAAATCCATTATATTGAAAAATGGTAAAAGCTAATTCTTCCTATTTAAAATTGATAAAAAATCCTAAAATAGCATGTAAAACAGGAAGTGGCAACATAGTATATTATGGAGAAGACACCTTCCACATAATAGTGACATTAATCATACTTTCCTACTGAGTCTAACAATGTACTGTGGTTTTTGTTTTGTTCTGTTTTGTTTTTGTCTTTTTTGAGACAAGGTCTCACTCTGCAGTTCAGGCTGGCCCTGAGCTCACTTTGTAGCCCAGCCTGGTCTCGAACTTGCAACAATCCTCCTGCCTCAGCCTCCCAAGTGCTGGAATTACAGGCATGTGCCACCATGCCAGGCAGCAATGTACTGTTGATTTTTAAAATTTTTTTGCATTTCTCCAAGTGTGTTGGCGCATGCCTGTAATCACAAGAGACAGCATGATTGTGGCTGTCCTTGTGACACAAAACATGGACAGTTTTTCTGTTAAAGCTGTTTTCCTTTTTTGCAAATCTGCTGCACATGTCTTAACAGCTGTATGATACTGTACGAGACCACAGCCTATGCCGTGGCCCTGACCACTGTGCTGAGGACCCCCTCCCTGCTGCTCACAGTGATAAATGAAAGAACAGAACTGTCTGGCTCCCCCTGCCACTGTGCCGGTGCACTGAACACTGGGCTGCTTGCAGGCAGAGGTGCGCCAAGACTTAGGCTTCATTTTAGGGTGACCAGGTAGGGATTAGGGAGTCTCAGAGGCAAGCTGGGGTCTCCACCCACCCACCCCCACCACACACACTAAAAAAATAAAACAAAACAAAACCCTGAAACAGAGAGAGCCAAACCCTGGAGGGTCCTACTTTAGCCTACTAACCTTACGTTGAAGCCTGGCTTCTCTGAACAGATCAGTTGCTATTTTCCTTTTTTGAGCCCTGTTTCAACCTTCTGTTCGGGGCAAATGCTATTGCTATGCAGGGTTAAAACAGACCAAGCCAAGCAGCCATCTGCTAACTCTTCAATTGGTCTTTACGGTTTTTCTTCCCCTTTTCATCTACCAACCTCAGCTGAAAGGCAGTTGCCACCTGTGCTACAGCCATCTCTTATTTCACAGTTCTTTTCCAACGTGGCTTCTTCCGTTACAGTTTATTCTTGGATATGACACACTGGGGCTTCCGCATCTAATTTCTGCTCCTTTGTCAAACCTTTCATCCTCTGGTATGTCACGCCTCCCGCTTCCATGCTTTCACCACCTTATTCCATTTTCTAAAGATGGCTTTATTATGAATGCAGTGGGGATTTATTTGAAGGAGGGAAATGCTGACTTCATACCACCATCTTGAACTAAAGTCGTTTCATTCCTATTTTTCTGTATTAGACATTGAATCCGGGGCACTCTATTACTGAGCCCGTTCAGCTTTTTTGATAGTGAGCCAGGGGCTAAGCTGCCCAGGCTGGCCTCAGACTTACAATCCTCTTCTCTCGGCCCCTGAGCAGTGGAGATTACAGGTGTGCACCACTGTGCCCAGCCTTCAATTTCTTTTTGCTACACAAAAGTTCAGTTTTAAAACTAAGAAGGAAAAAGTATAAACTAGCACAGAAAACACCCAGTGATACCTAAACCGCAGGACAAGAGAGGTGACTGTTTTAGAAAGATTTCCCCACACTGAATTACTTTTTAAAGAAACTGTATACTGCTGCATAAGAGACGTTCATTTCAACCAGATATTTATTAAAATGTGATTATCATCCACATAATTCAAACAACAGCACCAACTGTTCTACAAACACATATCAGCTCTGAATACTTTTGTTGAAAGAATTTTGATCTTTTAAAGTTCTCTATTTGATTTTGCCAGCCTAGCTCTAAACCTTCACCAACACAGACAATCAGAATGGGGATTTATTGTCTATGTAGTGAGACCCACTCCCAGAGTAGAGATGAAGACACCAGGCCCTGCAAGGCCAACCAACATAAGACCACCTCACCTGCGGCAGGACCGACAGGAGCCAGACCCTTCCAATCTCTGTACCACTGTTCTGCTCACTCATATCCCCACATGATTTCCTTCTCACTTTGCAGTTCAGGCTGGTCTTGATCTCACTATGTAGCCCAGTCTGGCCTCAAATTCTTGGTGATCTTTCTGCCTCAGCCTCCCAGTGCTGGGATTATATAATTTTCATAAAATCTTTTATCTTTTCTTGACAGCGCTGTTTTTTTTAGTGCCTTTCTTTCCAGCTAAAATATAAGCTCCGTAGGAGCATAAGCCCTGTCTGTCTTGTTTTTTCATTCAATTGCTCCCCAAGTGTCTAACCAATCATTAGTTACCTGATAATTACCTGTAAATTAAATGAATGAACACATCATGTTGCCTCTCCATTCTCTTTGAACTTACTGAAATTTAACACCTTAGTATAGTAGATTATGGGAGAAAGGGGTAGTATGTGTGAACACTTTCAAATAAGGTATATAATTTTCTTGGTATGTCGTTCACTTTGTGAAGTTTTCAGTTCCCATTAAATCTCAAAGGGCCCATATTTATTTAAAAGAAAAAAAACTGAAAGCCACTGTCCTAGGAAAAGGAGTCCAAGATAGTGTTTTGTACCAATATATTCAGGCTCCTAAGTGCTAATTCTCTTTGGTTTAGTTTTAATTCTACAAATTTACCTACACCCCTGCCCCACACACCCTGGCATAAATTAGTAGCTTGGAATTTCTCAGGCTCACTGGTAAGTGAGGAGGGCAGTCTGACTAAGGTTCATTAAAAGAAAAATGACACCATGGTTCTCCTACAAGCAGAGATTTAATAGCAGTATTCACCAATAGTCATTTAGCACAAAAAGATTGTTTATATAATACCTTCTCTGCTGGAAGGATGTGTTGCTTCATGAATTGCTTCACCTTAGTGAGAACTTCTTGGCCTTTTCTAGTCTGTACAAACAAGTGTCTTGTACTACCAACCGGTGGCAGTGCCGTATTGAATGTTCTTTACCAAAAAGAAAAAAACAAGATTACAAAGACATGCAAAATCATTATACATATTTCTGAAGATAACATGAAGTCTTCCTCAACTTCCCAAAAATATTCCTCAGAAAGTTTTAGACTTTTTTCTTTCAAATTATGAGATAAATGTAGAATCACTTTTTTGGAACATTAATGCTTAAAGCACTATTTGCAAAAAATATAGTTCTGAATCTTTACTGAAGCCCAGTGTCATAATCACTAAAAGAGGAAGTGAAGATATTCTATACAAATCTAATTATTATTCTTAGCACATGCCTCACGAATACAACTGCAGAATGTTATAAAGACCTTTACAGATAAAGGTATGCCAGACACGGTGGTACCTTCCTACAATGCCAGTCTTAAGAGGCTGGGGCAGGAGAATCACTGAAAGTTCGAGGCCAGTCTGGGCTACATGGTGAGTTCAAGACCAGCCTAAACTACATAGTGAGACCCTGTTTCAAGAAACAAACAAACAAAAAGATAAAAGTAAAATATGAAGCAAAACACGGTTGGTTGTTGTTTTGTAAAGATCACAAATATCTGTTCACAAGGTGAACTGTGAAAAACAACTGCTACAGTGTTATGCCATGAGTACTTGTAGCTTAGGGTGGGGTCAGCATTACAGTGCATTCAGTGAGTAATGCAGGTGTGACGGAACAGGCTGTTGGCTGCCTCACAGCACTCCACAGCAGGAGGCAGGGCTTCAGACGCTTCTGAAGGGTCTGAATAAAATCCCAGGACATGTGAATGTGCGGGAAAGCAATTTTTCTAAATTGATAAATAATCTTGTGTAACATAATTTTAAATAGGTCTGTGTAAGTAACTTTAAGTTTTCAAAGGAAATATTTGAGAGTTTATTTATATAAATATAAATTTTCTTTATATTTCAGGTCAATTTTTTTTTATGGTACTGGTGTTTGAGGCTAGAGCCTCACACATGCTAGGCAAGTGCTCTACTGAGCTACCCCTTCAGCAAGCTCAGTTTATGTTTAGGCATGTAAGAGACTTACCAAAAACTACCATGCGACACGATGGCATAAGCAAGACATATACTGTCTATCCCCTTAAATTTATAACCTTCGCATACCTAATAATTATTGTCAACTAAATTAATACACTGTGTTGAATTGATTAACTGAATGAATATACCCTCCTTGAACTTACTGAAACATAATTACCCAAGCTTGAGTTATCCAAGGAATGTTTTTTCTTACCTTTTTGAGAGTTGTAATCCAGTTTCTGCCAGAGGTTGCACAGTATTGGCAAACAGAAAGCTATCTTTAGATGAATTATTTCCCAAAAGATATCTATGATACACTCCCTATAAGTAAATTAACAAAGGATAATTAAAATTCACTGAAAATTGTCCTTCAACTGTGCAATCAGTCTTTCTACAGGTTCTCAGTATGTGGGAAACTAGCCTCATGGGGTAAAGATGTGAGACCAGTGCTGTAAACTTATATGCAACGGGAACTACACCCCTCTAAGTTAAAGAATCAACTCATCTGGTATTTAAAACACTCTCATCTGGCAGAAGTGTCACTGAAAACCAAACCAAACTTGAGAATTTGAAGTCACCTAAGACACCAAACCTGCAAGATACATCATCTTTAAGGATCCCTACCTTCCCTTCACAGTGAGGGTAAAATTAAAGAATGAGATTTTATATATATATATATATATATATATATATATGTGTGTGTGTGTGTGTGTGTGTGTGTGTGTGTGTGTGTGCATGTGTGTGTGTGTGCGTATATATATATATAAAACCAAGAAGAAGGCAATGAGATGACCTCTAGTATTGAATCTCATTTGGAGACCATGAATTTAGGTAAAAGTGTCTTTTTTGAACAATGTTAGCTGGATGCAATGTTAGCTGGAAAAAGACGTTCAGTCTTTTTCATAACTTGCCATTTCTGTACTTCCAGTCATTACACAGCTAGTGACATCACTGTAACTTCAACCATAACCAATTTCAAACTTTTATTTGAAATGAAAGTCATTTTAAACATAGATCCTATTTGGTATCTGATTTGTGTAACCTGACAATACAGAAGGGTACCTATTTTGAGAAACCTGTTTATTCAACACAGCCAACTCCCATTCATTCATTCATTTATTCATTTATTTATTGGGACAGGGTTTCATTATGTAGTCCAATATGGCCTGGGCCTCCCGAGGTAGCTCCTGCTAGCCTTAAACTCATGAGCCTCCTGCCTCAGTCTCCCAAGTGCTGGTATTACTGATGTGTAATCATCATATCTAGCAACATGATCAACTCTTAGAATATAGGATGAGCTGTGACATAAGTATTTCTTAGAAGATCTTTCAATTGTTCATGGATGGTATAAATTCTGAGAACAGAGAAAAATAACCACCATTTTCCTTATTCCTTCTTTTCCCATTACTTTTCTTTCTAGAATCTTATTTACTGTTCTTCTATTTTTTTGTTTTGTTTTTATATACTTATTTACTGTTCTTCTAAATCTTAGTCTTAATGAAGTATCTCAATTTATTAAACTCATTAAGATTTAAAATGGGTTAATAGAAAGAAGACCTAGAAACTGGGTTAATATAAAGAAGACATTTGTTTAGATTAAAATGTAATGGGAAAAACCAAAATTTATGCTCAATTTGCTCTCAAAATTAACCACAAGAATAAGATAAAGAAAATGGAAATTTGTACTCGTTCATTTACTCATAAACATATGAAAGACTACAACATGCTAGGTACTGTGCCGGCCTTCGATAATTCTTCCCCCATCATTTCCCTGATTAATAAAGAGCTTTTTAGTCTGAGGCAGAGATCATCAAAAGATCTTAGTTTGTTCATACACTTTATATTCAGGAAATGGCCAATTCTCATATGATTTTTCTTTGTTTTTGTCATATAACTTTATCTCAATTTCCACTTTATAAGTTTATTGTTCAAAAAAGTGATAATAAATTTTGCTATTCAACTCTTTTTTTTTTTTTTTTTAACTAAAGTCCTATTCTAAAGCTAGGCATGCTGGTACACACCTATAATTCCAGCTCTCAGGAGTCTAAGGCAGGAGGATCACTGCAAGTGTAAGCCCAGCCTACACTACATAGCAAGACCCTGTCTCAAAAAAAGAAAAAAAAAGAAAGAAAAAGAAAAAAAGAAAAGTCCTATTCTGTAAAATCTATATTTATCCATACCTAATTCTCATTATGAAATGCAAAATTGTCTAGGATAACAAAATATTAACACCCTACAGACCAGAAAATATTTTTAACATTACACTAGTAAAAACTGGTGAAATACATGTTTAAAACAATTAATTACCTGTGCTATTCCAGCCAATTTAAAATACGAAAGGGCAAGAAAGAAATTCCAGTTAGGAAGAATAGGATTAGTTCCCCTGCAGCGGCAATATACTGAAATCAGTTCTTCCATTGGTGGTACCCCTACAGAAACAGCACATAATATAAACTTTAACAAAAATATCATGAGAAATATTTCAAAAAGTTATAATACAGCATATATATGTAAAGCAGAATAAAATAGCCATAATTCACACAATATAACATGTTCTAAATATTGATTCTGAAAAGAACATTTTAGGGGCTGGGGATTTAGCTCAGCGGCAAAGCGCCTGCCTGGCAAGCGCAAGGTTGTGAGTTCGGTTCCCGGTACCGGAGAAAAAACCAAAAAAAAAAAAAAAAAAAAGAACATTTTATACAAAGGATATTTCATCATTAATTACTATGAGAGGAATGCTAAATTCAAAAAATTAAATAAAATAAATTAGAAACATCGTCAAGAAACAAAAATTATCTAAAATGGTAATATTATTAAAGAGAATTTTGTATTAAGGGTAATTTCAAAAGCATAATGCTTTTGTACCTATGCTTTCCTGGATATGAGATCCTCGATTTATCATCGGAAGTGTCCTTGGCCAAAAGTAGAACAGACAGAGATGAGCTAAGTCCGACAGAGGATGACCAATGGTTGACAGCTCCCAGTCTAGTACTGCTATAACTCGAGCCTGTAATTCAAAATAAAATGGATCTCTAACATGTTAAAATTCAAAAAAATTAAAATAAGGAGACAAATGAAACAGGATTCACTCAAAGTCCTATTTTCCACCAAAAGCCAGTATGAGGCCATAGAGTACAGTCTGCTGAAAGTGGCACATCGTATTTACGAAATCACCAACTTAGCCTTAACTACATTGCACCAAGCCCTTAGGTTTCATTACGAGCCACTAGGCCTTCGGTATTTTACCTCATACCGCCTTAACATCTCTATCAATGTGGTCAGGCAAAGCAGCTGAACTGCTCACCTGAGAGGAACTGTAGCAAAGAAGAAATTCTAATGACTAATTATATGTCGAGAATTCATGTATAGAGCCAGGTGTAGTGGTATAAGCCTGTAATCTCAGCACTCAGGAGGCTAGGGTAGGAGGATTGCTGTGATTTCAAGACCAGCCTGGGCTACACAGTGAGTTCAAGGCCAGCCTGAACTACATAGCAACACCCTGCTTGTCTCAAAACATACAGACAGACACAAAAAAGAATTCATGTATAACTAAGCAATTGTTCCAGTGATGGGTGTAACTGCCTAGAAATACTATACCATTATGCAATAATACTTTTTTCCTTGGTGTTGAGATTCAATCTAGGTGGCACGGAGCTGTAACTCCAAGTCTTCTGTGTTTTATTTTGAGACAAGGCCTTGCTAAGGTGTCCAGGCTGGCCTCAAACACTTCTGCCTCAGCTTCCCAAGGGGCTGGGATTAGTGTTCCACTGGCTTCGTAATAATACTTTTAAAGTAAGTTATTTCATGCTGCAGATAAAAAACCATAATTGCTACACAAGATACTTTCTGTATGAACACAAAACCTGCCGTTGTACAATTATGAAGCAATCATTGCATAATTTGGAACCATTAGAGCAGGAAGCTTTCCTCTCTGTACTCTGTAACAACACGCACGAAGGGAATATATTATCTGCGAGGGAAAATGGGTTGGGGCTTGTTAGGAGGAGTGAACAGATCCTACATCTATGTTTACCTCGTGCCGTTTTAGTCAGCATTTGGGCCATGCCCTGGGACTCCCCTGTATGTGCGGGGCTGTGTCAACAGAGAAGCTTTGCTGCTGAGAATTTTTACCCTTTTGTCACATCTTGTTTAAAGAAAAAGTTTATCACATAGTTGGAAGGATATGCACCAGGCTGATAGGAACAGCTCTATTTCAACAAACCAAGGCAGGAGGGATGAGGCACAGAGATCTCTGTACAGAGGAGCGACAGGGACATGATCTGATTCTGAAAGGCTCACTCCAGAGCTTATGATGTGGATAGACTCTAAGGAGGTCAGGGAGGAGACAGCTTTAATAAGTCAAGCACATAACCCAAGCCAGATAACACAGTGGAGCCCATCGGGGCAATGGAAATTACTGGGTTTCATGCCACCACAAACTCTGTGTGCTTGAACTGCCTTGCTGTTCTGGCAAACTTACACCTATCACTGTAGCTTTGTGGGAAACTGTGGGCTTTGAACCAGGCAGACCCATATTTAAGTCCTAGCTCTGCTATTTACTGGCTATGTAAGTCTGGACAAGTTATTAACATCCCCAATTTTCTCATCCATAAAGTACTTGGCTTATATAAGGTTAGTGTGAAGAGACAATAAGTGAAGGCAGATAGCTTTTCCGTCCTGTTTACCAGTTCCTAGCAAATCACCTGGCACATACGAGGTGGCCAACATGTACTTATTCAGTCAATAAGTACAGAGCTTGCAACAGAAATTTGCTGTGGAAAAAACTGGTCAGTCCCTTCTCCATGACTTGATTTTATAAGACATTTTATTTTTTATTTTTATTTTACAGAAAAAAGGTAAGACAAAATTTCATAACAAAACAATAGGAGAATAACAATAGTTAATACATAACATACTGTTATCTTTAAAGTAGTTATTCAGTGTATAAGATATGGGTATTAAAATTTTCTCCAATTAATATCAGCACAAACCTACCCTTTCAATAAACTAAGAGACATTAGTTATAACTGACTTGCTTTTTAATTTTTTTTTTCTCTTCCATCCTTTCCTATCTACCCCATCCTAGTTTCCTTTCCCCCTTGAACAATTTCTTCTCATCTTACAATATCTATTGTACATTTCAGACCTTACTCACTCTTCCAGCTTCTCACACCAGGGAGACAATACAAGGTTTACACATGCGATTCTGATTTATTTCCCTTATGCGTATGGCCTCAGGTTGCATCTACTTACCTATAAAAGTCTCAAGTCTATCTTTCTTTATGGCTGAGTAATATTCCACTGCATAAAGAGACCACATCTTTTTTATCCACTCCTCAGTTGATGGGCATTTGGGTTGTTTCCAAGTTTTAGCTACTGTGCTGGTATAAATATCAGTGTACATATATTGCTGTGGTATGGTGTTTTTAATTCTCCTGGGAAGATACCCAGAAGGGGAATAGGAGGCCTCTAATCCTAGCTTTTTAAGGAATCTCCATACTGACTTCTACAGTGGTTATACCTGTCTGCATTTCCACCAACAGTCCCTTTTCCCCCAAAGCCCCTCCAACATTTGTTATGCGTTGATTTCTTGTGGATAGCCATTCTTTCTGGGGTGAGATGGACTCGCAGTGTTGTTTTAATTTGCATTTCTCAAATGACCAATGATGTTGAACATTTTTTCATACACCTATTTGCCATTTGTATTTCTTCATCTGAGAAGTGCATATTCATCTCAGATTCCCATTTTTGGATTGAGTCTTTGAATTTGGGGGGGGGGGTCTGATTTTTTTTTCCAATTCTTTATGTTCTAGATGTAAGTCCTCTGTCTGAGGGACAACTGGCTAAAATTTTTTCCCACTCTGTTGGGAAAATCATCACTCTGTTGGTGATTTCTTTTGATGTCCAAAAGCTTTTTAATAAGATGAGAACCCAGTTGTTGATTCTTTGAATTGTTTGCCATGCAAAGACCTTTTATTTTTGTAGTTATGTTACATTATCAATTATTAAAATACCTGATTGCTAAACTATATTAAAAATGTATGCATTTTTCTCTTATGGCATTCTATTTGTTATCTATGTTCTCAATATCCAAAGATGAGACATTTCATTATACTATACATGTTTGCTTATTTTTAAGTGAAAATTGGAGTTTTCTGAAGTTTCAAGATAACCTGAAAGATATCTTGAGTAATTAATAACAATGGGCAGTCAGAAAAGTTGATGGTTCATCAAATAGCATCAATTAGTGTTCATTAATTAACAACAATTAGAATTCTGTCAACACTTATGTGTATTCATGCCTATAAAACTTGACATAACTCGTAGTGGTTGAAACAAACATTTACTATCCATCTTCTTGGAAGTGAAGACCTTAGTAAAATTATTTTTGATAGTTTTTCTGAAACCTCAGCACAATGAAAAGCTTTTCATTCTGTTGATTATCTTCTACAGAAAGGTGTTTTTTATGTGTGTGTTTTTCACACTATGGAATTCTACTAAGTATGTGTACTACTATTCAAAGCAAAAGAAATATGTAGTTCATCAGAATAAATACTAAATGAAAGTAGGGAATAAAATAAGAGAATGTTTAATAAATAGGAAGCTAGGAGCAAGGTTGTTACATAAGATTGAGTGTCGTAAGTCATATGTAGTTAAAGTAGGCAGTAAAATTCACTATGAGTTTTCTAACTGAAAAATGAAGCAAGAAGCACGGCCAGCCATGACACTCAGATTAGTGCATGTGGACTATAAACAAGCCAGGGGATCAAGAGACTTTTATTTGGCAACGAAGCTTAATAAAAATGTCACCCAACAGCCCACGTGAAGGGGACATTGTGTGGAGGGCTGAAGTCACAATATCAAACGGTCTTCAAGGGACAGGTAATCCCTCAAAAGCCCCTGTGCTGGAGGTGACTAGCAGGAAAAGGAGCCAAGTGGAAGGCAAGGCCATGTGCTAAGAGTGGCAGACTAGACGGGGTCCAGCACTTTGAAAGCTGGAGAAGAATGGAGAAGATTTGAAAAGGCAATTTTAAAAGTCACACATTTTATGAAGAGATGAAGTGACAGTTGAGATGAAATTATGCGGCAAGTTATCATGACCCAAGTTCAGAGTTAATGTTTGTTTCAGCCACTAGGAGTTATGCCAAACTTTCCATAGGCACGAATACACATAAATGTTGACATAAATGTTGTTAATTAATGAACACTAATTGATGCTATTTGATGAGCCATGGCTCATGAACTTTTCTGTTAATGTCAAGAGCTAAGAAAATGTTAGAATAATAAAGGACCTAAAGTCAGGAAACTTTGTAGTTCTCATAGTACTTTATATAGCCACAATCCAGAACCATTAATTAAATTGACAGTGAAGAAGGTAGCATCTGAAATAATGGATTATGACCATGTGTCCCTGCAGGGTAAGAAGCAAACTGAAGTCATGAAGGGCTCCTAGAGTCTAAAGCAAGAACAGTGGAATTTATAGCATCTCAAAAGAGTTATAAATAAGTAAAGGAATAGAATGTGAAGAGGATATATTAAAGACAAGGGACTTCAATGTCCACATCACGAAAGCTGACCACTTCCAGTGGATAAATAGTACAGTCCAGAAGGAAGAATAAATCATTAGAAGTCTGCAGGTCTGAGTTCAAATCCTAACTTTACCACTATCATGCACTGTATGCTTGTGCCCCCCAAATCATATGCTGAATGCTAATGCCCAGTGAATGGCTTCAGGCGGTGGGGCCATTGGGAGGCAATGAGGTCATGAGGGTGGAGCTCTCCTGCTGGGATTAGTGCCTTTATAAGAGGCAGGAGAGAACTCCCCCTACTCCTTCACTCTCTCCTCCCTTCCCCTCACGCTCTTTATGCTCCTTATCAAGTGAGGACTCAGGAAGAAGAGAGCCTTCAACGAGACACAGGCTCTGTCAGTGCCTCCATCTTGGACTTAGAAGCCTCCAGAACTACAAGAAATATATGTTTGTTTGTTGTTTCTTGAGACAGGGTCTCACTAAGTACTGCAGCCTGGCCTCGAACTCACTTACATATCTCAAACTGGCCTCTAACTCACAGCGATCCTCCTGCCTCAGCCTCCTGAGAGCTGGGATTACAGGATTGTGTCATTATACCAAGAATGTTTGTTTTTTAGGCTACTCAGTTTGTAGTACTGTCCTATAACAGTCCAAACTGACTAAGCTAACTACTAAAGAGCATTTATTTGAGAATACTTTTAAAATAGCTATAAAGTAAAAAGATTACAAATCCTTGTCTTTTCTAGCTATAAAATTAAAATTTATAATTACGCTTTTCTCCAACTACACTGATGTTTTACAGACAATGAGGAAATTAAAAAGAAAAATCCATTAAAAGTACAAGCTTTATACATAATTTTTTTCTTCATAAATTAATATATAAAAATCTGCAAGGCGGATGACTTTAGAAGAACCAGGATACATATATGTATTATTTTAAATATATTTTGAACATTAACTAATATAAATGAATTAGCTTTTTGTATGTTTTTAATTAAATATTGTTTTTCAAACTGGAATAACATTGAGGTTTAATATCCATTAATAAAACATTGACGTTTTATATCAAGCTCCAAAAGCTCACACATTTATCAGTTTTTTACATTTGGAAAAAGTATCAACAACATTTTCTAGGAAAAGGGTTTCTTTTCCAAACATTACAGTGAGTGTGTTGTACAACTAAAATACTTGTTCAAACATAAACTGAATGATATGTTTTTGTTTTGCTCTGCCCTTTAGCAACCTTTTACTGACTTACCCCATACATTCCTGGAAGGTTTGTCATCTAAAACTGAAGCAGGACTTAAAAAAAAGAAAAAATCGAGCTTCCCTAAACATCTCCCTCCCTACAGCTGTTGTTCTTTGTTCTAATATAGAATAAAGCAATAACTTTTGTCCCTGTAAGTAAAGTTTTATAACCTCCTGTTCCCATAACATCTTGTTTTGCCTGGGCAAGGCCACCAAGATATGTTAAGTTGCTTAACTGTCACAGCTTAACTAACTGCCTTTGTTTTATTTCTGAAAACTTGCCCACCTACAAATTTCATGCTGTTGGCAAACCCTTCAGCTACATGTATAAAATGGGAACCCTTCCTTTATTCAGGACTCAGTCTTTTGGATGAATCTGCTAAGCCAGGGTACACCTAAATAAACTGATCTTCCTGAATCTCTTACAGTCTCTCTGGTCTCTTAAATTATACAACAAAATTATTTTTGTTTTGTTTCTTAAATATTGTGTTTTTTGACAAAAAAAAAAAATTACTGTTGCTTTAAAAAACAAAACAAAACCTTAAACCTCACAGAAATACACAATTGTAAGTCTTTTATAATTCTATTTCCTCTCAAACCATTTTAGAGAATATTATGAAAGATTTACTCATATTCTGATATTTCTCTGAAGAATACAGAAAGAAATCAGAATTCACTAGTGCCATTAACAAAAAGATACACACACCTCCTCCCTTCTTTCTTCTCCTCTCCTTTCCTCCCTACTCTCTCTCTACCATTTCCTTTTCTTTGTGCAGCTAGGGGAATGAACCAAAGGTGTGCAACACTAAGGACTGAAATGAGAAAGTGCTGACCTTTATCTCCAGCCTTTTTAAATTTTTATTTTGAAACTAGGTCTTACCAAGCTGACCTCAAGTTTGCAATCATCCTGCCTCAGGTGGGATCTGGGATTACAGGTATATATGACCACACTGGCTAGATTTAGACTGTATGAGTTAATCATAATGCAAAGGCCCTATACATTCAATACAAACCACAAATCAAACTTTGAATTTTGATGTTTTCCTGGGCTAGTGACATGCAGTACAGTACTCGCACACATGCTAGGCAGTGGCAGTGAGCCACAGTCAGGCCACAGTGTTACTCAACTATTATATTCGTAGATTAGGTATAGTAAATGCATTTTCAACTTACGATAGGTTTATTAGAACACAACCCCACAATAAGTTGAGTGTCTAATTTATATATAATTTTAATATCCAGACTAATATTTCTATAAAAATTTTCTGTTCTGGGGCTGGGGATTTAGCTCAGCCGCAAAGCGCCTGCCTGGCAAGCGCAAGGTCGTGAGTTCGGTTCCTGGTACCAGAGAAAAACCAAAAACCAAAAAAACAAACAAACAAAAAAAAAAATTTTCTGTTCTGCTCATAAGTATGCTCACATAAAGTTGTTTTTTTGACTTTCAATTGATGTATTACTTTGACTCATGACAATGTTATTTATAATGGTATTTTCCCCTGTACCATTCCTAGGGGAAGGAATATGAAACCCAGAGACATAATACACAAATTTAGAGCAACTCCTCTTGCTGTAAAAAAATTTTTTTAGCATTGTAAGAAAATTAATGAACCCCAAAAAAGCTCCTCTAAGAAGGAAGATTCAGGGAACTGTAAATCTTTCATTTGTTTGTGTTCTTTATGATGAATATACTGTGTACATTTACACAGACCAAAATTAGATTAATCTTGTGCAATTCTTTTGAAGCCTCAAAAGAGGCTTCTGGAATTCTTTCTTCTCAGAGCTTATAATAAACAAATTAAAAATTCTTCATGATGTGGGACAAAGAAACCAAAGAAATGTAAACAGAGCACAAAAAAATGAGCAAGAACATGGATAATCTGGGACATTCTAAGTAGTAGATAAAAACCTCCTTTCAAAATAGGGAATACATGTTAAAATCCAAATCTTTTTTAAGTAGTCAATCAGATACCATTAATTAACACTGCCACTCAGCCTTAATGAGAGGCATCTACTTACACTAGAAAACCTGCAGGACTGGTTTCTAGAAGTTTGAGCCTGAAAGCAGTCATGAGCTATAAGGCAACACTGGGGCTGGGCTGGGCTCCTTCAGTTCTTGGGGTGGAGGGAATATCTACTTTGCATTTGTCGTAAATCAGACCTACTCAATTTACTGTTGTAACTAGGGCTTACAGTACCTCTGTGGGGTGGAAAACTATGTTATCTAGTTTGAAATCTCCATGAATCAAACTCTCTTCACTGTCATTATCGGGCAAGTTTTGCATGAGCCATTCGGATAGCTGTTTCATGGCAGGGATGTCCTGATGAGCAGCAGCCTCATATTGCTTTGTCCAGGTAGATACCTGCAAGAGACAAATGAGGAAAACGATAGAATTGAAAGAAAAATGTCAAATCCAGCAATTCTAAAATTAAAACATATTCACTTACGTCAAATTTTGTTTTACTGGTAAAATGACACACTGACTTAGGCATCAAGAGATGTGGGTTATAATATTTATTCAGGAACTATTTTATGGAAGAGAAAATGCACACAAAAAACAGGAAATTTTTGGAAGGGGACACAAGAAACAAGTAAATCCAGAGAAAGGAAATATGTAGTCTACAAGGAGGAGAGTTTTACAGAAATTTTAATAGCTTTTACCATACCCACAGAAGCTTGTAAACATATTACAGATATGTGTAGTGCAAAGGCTTTCAATCATTCCTACAATTCAAAGTAAAAAAATCCATCTATTCAACAGTTCTCTAAGAAGTGGAGCCATATTATTTATTTGCTTGTATCTCTCTGCATTTTCTAATCTATCTCTGCACACTACGCAATAAACAATAATCTTCATCTTTGGAGTCTCACAGACCTAGGTTTTGGTCTAAGCCATGTACTTGTGTATTACTTGTTTAAACTGGATCTGAGCCAGTAGCCTCAGTTTCTTCACTTGTGAAATGGAAGAAATATCTATGCTTTAGTGTTGCTGGGAAGAGAATGTCCACAGCTCACCTAGGACAGGACTCGGCTGATAATGAGCGCACTCTACAGTTCCGCTCCCTTCTCTCCTAAGCACTCCCCAGATGAGGCGCTTACAGAGACACGCCCACACGCGTCTGGTCTTGCTCTTCTTTGATGGAAATGCTCACCATCTTTTCCCTATCACTCTAAATTTTACCTTTCCTTAAATAGTCATTTTTTTAAATTTTTTAATTTTTTTTGTTTTTTTTCCGGTACCAGGAACCGAACTCATGACCTTGCGCTTGCCAGGCAGGCGCTTTGCCGCTGAGCTAAATCCCCAGCCCCCCTTAAACAGTCATTGTAAGACACATCTTTCCTAGGAAGTATTCCTTAACTAAGCAAGGGCATGCCAATCTCCACATTCTGGATAGCATAGCTCTTGTGATAGGCATCAAATAATTATTGCTACATTATACCATTTTCAAGTTTCATGTACATGAGTTTCACGTAGAAGTCTCTCAAAAATGATCACAGTTGATTTCGGGGAAGAACCTATTTCCACTGTTTAAACATTTAACACAGTACTCAACAAGTATTAAATACCCAGTAAAACCTGATAAACATCTGCTAACATAGCAATGGAAAACTGGATAGAAAATACATTGGTAAATTACATTAAGAGTCTGAAACAGAAGCTTTTGCTGACTAAACTTTAACTAAGACACAAAATTATTCTACGCTAAAAATAACTCAATCTGAAGGATAACGTTAAAATAGCAGTCTCAGAAAACCATACAATAGGTTTGTATTGTGACCAATATACAGAATGTTGTATCTTTAAGAACTTAAAAGAGTAGCTTTTTATATGGATGCATTACCTGTCTTTTGCAGTACCCCACACCTGTTCCATATCCTTCCAGCTGCAGTGATCGTATATTCAAGGAATGTAACCGAGCCAGTGTTTCTATCATGGCCACATATATGGCTGAGCGTTCTGCTGGGCTAACTTTAGGAAGTGTGAAATCACGAAAGATTCGTCCCTGTGGAAGTGATTACAACAGGCAATTTAAATGTTTGCAACTGAAACCAATACTTTGTGGAATATCTGATAAATACATTTGTTTGTGAAATATATACAAGAGTATATATGCCAAAGGGAAAAATACAAGGATATGCAAAGATGAACTTAAAGGTCAAACTACTCCCAGTTTGAATCTTATAAAAAAGTTTTGAAAAAAACCAAGCTGAATTTATTCTTAATGATTTAATGTTTTTTTTCTATTGTGAAGTTGGTTTACTGCCCTACCGGACAATTTGGTTATTGCCATTATAGGTAGCTCTTTACTGTCACCTAGAGGAAAAATTAAGAATCAGTCACCCTGCCCTAATTACTAAATTTGTTCATTGTGTGTACACAAATTGAAACAAAATTTTAAACTGAATAAAACTGAATAAGTTGAATAAATTGTCAGTTATGAACATAATACAAATATATTCTTGCCAAACTGAATAAAACATTGAATAAATTGTCAGTTATGAATATAACACAAATTTAACAGAATAGTATTTTATAATCAAAAATACAGTAAAAGCAACAAAATAAGACTGTTAACCCACCTGCACATGTTCCATCACATAAAATTCCGTTCCAATGACAGAGGCATCGCTGCAGTACAGCAAAGGCTTAGCAACAGGGAATCCAACGGAAAACAAGGTTTTCTGGACTTTAAATTCTCTATCAATCTAAATAGTGTGATGGATTATCAAAAATCAAAACAGAAATTTAATAACAACTGGTGAACTAACATTAACTAAGGCTAGAAATCACTGTAAAATAGTATCGCTAATAATCCTGAGGATGACAGCAATTTCTTTCACAGCAGAATGTAATCATCACAATTAGAAATTAGACCAGCTCTAAAAAAATGATAATTTAATTAGGGGAAAAGGATGGCCACTTGGATGGGGTCTAGTCCTGGTTCTGGACCTGTGAAGTCAACAATTCCTGACTGTTACCTGCTTGGGGGTCTTGTGCAGGTTCCTGATATCCCAAACAAGGAAATGAACACAATACTTATGAGTCGCAGCAAGATCAAAGATTTATTTAAAAGCGAAAAAGAAAGATATACTCCACAGGGTGGGAGCTGGTCACTGAGACAAGCTCAGATCCAGAGGGGCTTGGTGTTGAGGGCTTTAAACTTTAGGGCTCGGGTGAGACTGAGGGTTTGGCCTGAGGTAGACTCCTGCCAATGACCGATTTGACTCAGGTCCTGTGTGTAAGGTCCAAAGCCCAGAGGGCTGGGGGCTGGGTCAGATTTGCTTAGTCAGTCATATGGTAACTAGGGATGGGTCCAGCAGGACTTATTGTGGTAAGCCAAGTTCCCTGGTTACTTTTTCCTTTATAATTAGATCTAGGTATCCTGGTTCTAGGCTAATGTTTAGCACAGAAGGTGGATCCAGTTTCAGAAAACAGGCTCCAAGGCAGCCCTGCCCTCTCCTTTTCTAGCCTTTTCCTTAGCTACCTCCTGCCTCATGGCCACAGTATTTCAAGATGTTCACCAGAATCATTCCTTTGTTCTCAGCAGTCCACTGCTAATTGGCTTGTTCTCATTCTTTCATATCTCCCCACAGGGTTCAGACAAGTCTCTTTCAAGGCTGGACCACAGACAGCTGAGGGGCTGGGGGAGGCGGTTGGTGGTGGGAAGAAAAAGGTACCCTCCCCTTCTGGAGATTAAAGGAGGCATGTACCTCCAACGCAGGAGCTTGGGATCCTCCCTGGTGCCTGCGGTTGCTGGGGAGCTCAACAAAACTACTGTACTGGGAGAGGAAGTAATGAGAAGGAAACAGGTCCTGAAACAGGAGCCCAAATAAGACAGAAGAAATTGGCCTCCTTAGCCTGGGCAGACTCATAGGCCTATCACAGGGACACGAGGGCAGGGCTGTGATACAGACCAGGAAAGGATGACTCGTTTACATGAAAAGTCACCTTGCTTCAAACTCAGGTGACAGTGACCGACCATTCTCAGGGGGGAAGCGGTACAGTTCACCTTACATCAGGGAGTAAAGCAGTTGCTTCTGCAGCAACAGGAGCAGGGGAGTAACTAAACCCAAGTCCAAGGGAGAGGAAAACCGGCAGTGCCAATGGCTGGAGAGGGAAATGTTTCTAACCATCCTGGTGCCCCGAAATGGGTGAGGGGAGAGCACACAGAAATCTGGGAGACAGGGAGGGAGGGAATGTGTGTGTGTGTGTGTGTGTGTGTGTGTGTGTGTGTGTGTGTGTGCATGTATAGTGCTAGAATTGAACCCAGGGCTTGGTGGACGTTAGGCAAGCATTCTACCACCGAGCGACATCCATAGCTAACAAATACAAAGTGGATGGCAAAGTGCAAGACTGCTTTTTAAAATGCAGATTTGGGTGTAAAAAATCAGTGCAGTTAAAAGTTAAAATTGTAGATCCTTGGAGCTATCCTTAGGCTGAAAGTGTTATGTTATGTTCTTTTTTTTTTTTTTATTTTTTAATTTTTTTGGTTTTTCTCTGGTACCGGGAACCGAACTCACGACCTTGTGCTTGCCAGGCAGGCACTTTGCCGCTGAGCTAAATCCCCAGCCCCTGTTATGTTATGTTCTGATGTGTTCCTGTAGGATGTTATTAAGAGAGAACCAAAATATTACTGTTTATAAACATTTCATTATTGTTTACTGGGGCATAAATCTATAGGCACAGGTGCAGATCCTCATGTAGCCATGTTATGTTAAGATTTAATAAAAGTTACTCAACTTTTTTATCTTAAGCATCTAAATTATTTCATGTTTCTGGGAACATAATGGGACCAAAAAGTCAAAATCTGCCTTTTCCTATATTATGATATTAAGCCCATCTCACAGTGCTGGTTTCCTAGTGAGCTGGGCCTGGCAAACAGCTATTAGGCACGATCACAGCAACACCCTAAATATGCACACTGCTGTTCAATGATTTCCATAGATAATACCTGTTTTGGAAAATATAAAAACAGTTTAAAATTTTTTGACTGATTGTTATGGTTTGAATCTGTGTGTCCCCCCAAAGCCTCAAGCAGCCATGGGGCAGGCTTTTAGAGTTGACGGGTGTGAGAGCTACGCCTACCCTGGGATGGATAGTTTGCATACGTAAGGGAGAGGAAGACGCTGCTTGAGGGCATTCCTCCCCCATTCTGCCCTGGTGTGTGCTTTTTGCTTTTGCTGTGTTCGGAAGCCATGAGCTGTAGTTCTCTGCCATATGCCATTCTGCCTTATAATCTGCCAAGTACAGACTGAAACCTCCACAAACTGTAAGTAAAATAAACCTTTCCTTCCTTAATTTTGGGCGTCAGGTATTTTGTCCCAACAGCGAGAAAAAAGTAACCAAGACACTGACATACTCTATTTGTACAGATTTATGAGGTTTAATTCATGTATACATTCAGTAGTAATCAACTCAGGGTAATCAGAAAAACTTAGTTCTTAACAAAAACATTTGCAATCCTCACTATTAGGTATAATATTTAGAGACTGCTATAAAGTGCTTATTCACATCTTTCTTTTTATTGCCATCTCAGAGGACCATCATAGCAAATATATTAAAATAATTCAGCAAGTAGATATTGTTATAACTTAAACATGTAACAGACACAAAACATCTAGCAGTTAATACTGAAAAATACTCATTGGCTGATTGTATTTCCACCTAAGCGGGTAGGAAGGAATCAAGCCCAGGAGAGGACTGTGTGTTGTCCAAGATCAGTGGCTTAAAGATAGCCCAGATTTGAACCCCAAGTCCTTTTTAGAAATAAGCAAGGATACAATTCAAATGAAATTTTAATTGAAAATAAGATGAATATTCTGTTGTTTAGTAGCTACACAATCACCTTAAAAAGCAATTTAAATTAATTGTGTATATAAAAGTCATTTATCATGAAAGAATTTACATTATATTTACATGCATACCTTATGTGCTTTAGGAAGAAGTGAACCTGGTGGTTTTTTCCTGAGTACATATCCTTGAGAGCCCTTCTGGAGATAAAAGGTAGGGTTGGACTGTCCTGATCTAGAAAAAAGCAAAGAAAAAGTCAGCTGAAAAGATATGTTTTCTTTCTTCCTGAAATCCTACTGAAATGCCAGAAGGAAGAAAAGAAAAGAAATCCTGCTCAGTGTTGAAAAGCCAGCAGGGTGCTACCAGCAGATCACAGCATGACCATTTGGGTGACATTAAAATGGATGGCAAAGCTGGATATGGTGGTACAAGCCTGCAATCCCAGCTATTTGGGAGGCTGAGGCAGGAGGGTCCAAGTTCAGGGCCAGCATGGGCAACTTAGTGAGACATACTCTGTTTCAAAATAAAAACTGAAATATGGGAGAAGGGCTGGTGATGTAGCTCAGTGGTAGAGTTCTTCCCTAGCATTTGTGAGACCCTGTGTTCAATCTCCAGAATAGTCTTCTTCTTCTTCTTTTTTTTTTTTTTTTTAGTGGTACCGGGAATCGAACTCATGACCTTATGCTTGAAAGGTAGGTGCCATGCTACTGAGCTATATCCCCAGCCCCTAATCTCCAGCATGAGAAAAACAAACAATCCCCCCAAAACAAAAAAACAAAACCAAAACTAAACAACAAAACAACACAAAAACACAAACATACTGGCGGCTGGAGATTCTATAACCCCATGGGTAGGAGAATGGACCTCAACCCTAACTGTAAATTGTGTTTTATCAGAAGCACCCCTACAACAATGCCTACATGTAAGTAAATGAAGGCTGAGGGGAGAGGTTTTCGGTAATGAGTCAGGAAAGAATTAATGGATGCCAGGACAGCTCAGTTAGCGCCCCCTTACCCCTCCTGAAGTGATGACCTCCATATGTGTCACTAAGGCTAGCACCTGAGTACGGCTCACCACAATGGGAGACAGAAGAGACAGTGAGTCCAGAGTGGGCAGCTAGGCCAACACAACAGTGCCCAAGTAGTTCACAGGGCTGGGGCACAGGCTTTCCCCCTTGGGTGAACAGAAACTCTCGCATGGTCTAAGGATATACATCCCACTTAATGAAACCATTCAGTCTATACCTTTACTCCTAATATGGGCAGTTAACAATTGCCCAACTTTTGGAGAATCCAATAGTATAAAAGAGGCCTTAAACTAAATAAATGTAAGATTCAATCTCAGAAGTACTGGGTAAAAGTGGGAAAAAAGTAACCTTGAAGTTTCTCCTCAGGACTCGACCCTCTGTCAGGAAAGCGTAAGAAGGAGCCCAGTCTGAAACAGCAGCAGCTCAGTGTCTCCACCTTGCAGCCACAGGACAGGCGCACTCTCCCCAGCACTCGAATCAAACAGCACTGATCTTGGCCCCCTCTTCTTCCTGGATGGGTGCCTTTTATCACAGGAAAGTGGAGGCAATTGCCAACTGTCAGGAAATAGGACCACCTCAAGCTCTGCTGTCTTTAGTGACATGGGCAATTTAGCTGTGATGCTACCAAGATTCAGGTAACAATGATCCTTGCAAACATTTTTTTGAATGCCAAATGACTGAATGGATGCACTTTTAATGAGGCAGTTCTCTAGCCACATATGAAGCACTGGTCTTCCATGATAGTAAATGATTAGTGAAATATAAAGCCACCACATGACCCAGCAAGGCCAATCCTGTGTATACATCCGAGAGAATTCAAAACATAAAGTTACACAAAAACTTGTACCTAAATTGTTCACAGCAGCACTCCTCACAATAGACAAAATATTAGGAACCACCCAAATGTCTATCAGCAAGTGAAAAGAAACAAACTGGCATATCCATACTGTGGAATATTAATTAGCCAGGATGGGAATGATACTCCAATACCTGCTAGAACCTGGATGAACCTTATTTACTCTTCATCTGAAAATATTATGCTAAGTGAAGGTATGCACTCACAAATATCTATACATTGTGTGATTCTCTTTGTATGAAATGTCCCAAATAGGCAAACCTATAGTGACAGATAGTAATGACTCTGTCTCAAAAAATAAAAACAGGGTTAGGGATGTAGCTCAGTGGGAAGGTCCTGGGTTAAATCCCTAGCACTGAAAAAAAAAAAGGATTAATGGTTGTTAGAGGACAGGGAAGGAGGGAATTGGGAAGCATAAGATTTCTTCAACAGGAACAGTCTGGAATTAGGTGGTGGTGATGGCGGCATAACATTGTGAATGTGCTGAAAACAACTTATATATATATACTTTAAAATCGCTAAAATTGTGAATTTTATTTCATTTTGTTTTTGGTCTTTTTGAGACAGGGTCTCGCTGTGCAGTTCAGGCTGGTCTTGAACTTGCAATGATCCCCCTGCCTCAGCCTCCCGAATGCTGGGAGTACAGGTGTGTGTTACCAGGCCTGGCATTAAAATTGTGAATTTTATATTAACTTTATTTCAAAAAAACTAAACAATTTAAAATTTTTCTTCTGAAGAAATATTTACTGCAGTTTTAATAAAACAAAAACAGGGGCTGGGGATTTAGCTCAGCAGCAAAGTGCCTGCCTGGCCAAGTGCAAGGTTGTGAGTTCGGTTCCCGGTACCAGAGAAAAACCAAAAAAAAAATAAAAACAAAAAACAAAAACAAAAAGGAAGAAGCCTTCTCATGTTGGAAGACAATCTCCAATATAATTAATACAACAGTGGCTAAATTTAACCACTCCAAGCACCAGGCCTTCAAGTCATCTAGAACTACTGACAGTCTCAAGAATCATCACTGAGTCAATGGTTATAACTACTCCTGAGGCCTTGGACAAGACATTTGGTGCTGAAGTAATTTTTTCATCTATAACCTAAGAGGTGACACTTCTGATCTGTCCAACCTCCATTAACAAAGACAGAATCTGTACATTTAGGTACTTACCTAGAAATGCTCACTTGATTGGAGACGACTTTGACTAGACATCAATCTTACAAGACGCACAGTCACCCTTAGCGTTGGTTCACTTAGAAGGGTATAAAGACAGAAAACGCAGGGTGCCAGCAGGGCCACAGCAAGTGACCCGCTTTATTAGCAGGCTCCCACAGCAATTATGCAGCAGCCTAGAGCTTACTCTAGCTCCCCTGTGCTCTCAAGGACAGCAAGGCTACTCAGGCTTCTGTTCTGTACACTGGGTAGTTTATAAGCAACGAAAATTCATTTTTCACAGTTCTGGAGCCTAGGAAGTCCCAGAGCAAAGCACCGCATCATGACAGGTAAGTACAGAACCTGGAGTCATCTTGTGAGTGGCTCTACTTGCACCTCCAAGCAGAAACCAGAAATTCCTACAAGACTGTTTTTAACAGAAAGGAACTGAAAGAAGTCACCCTGAGAAGAGTCCATTATGTTTACAGCTATGTAGCAGTTACACTATTCCTTGTTCCAAAATAATCTGAAAATACTGAGATTTGCTGCTGTTTGATATCACTTCTTTTCAGTTGGTACTGAAGAAACTGGCGCAGGAATGACTACTGCAGCCAAGGACAATGCGGCTGTACCAAGGAGCCACAGACCTTTGCCGTCTACTCTGATAGTGTGGTCTGCACATTTAGGTTTGTGAAACTGAGTGAGCAAGATGAAGGAGAGTGCTCAGCTCAGCAAATCTGAGCCCTCCAGCACTGCATAGATGTCTTTTTGTAAATTTTATCTTATGGGAAAAAAGTAAAACAAAATTTCATAACAAAATAATAGGAGAATAACAATATATTATATATTGTTATCTTTGAAGTAGTTACTCAGAGTACAATATATAGGGATAAAAAGTTCTCCAATTGATATTAGCACAAACCTTCCTTTTCGATGAGCTAAGAGACACCAGCAGTATAACTAACTTGCATTTTTTCCCTTTCCCTTCCTTTCTCTCCCTTTTCCCCCATCCTAGTTCCTTTTTCCTTTTGAACAATTTCTTCCCACTTCACAACACCTATTGTACATTTATTTATTTATTTATTTATTTTTATTTTTTGTGGTACCAGGAATTGAATTCAGGACCTTGTGCTTGCCAAGCAGGTAGTTATGTCACTGAGCTATATCCTTGGCCCGACTGTACATTTTAGACCTTATTTACTCTTTCAGTTTCTCACACCAGGGAGACACTACAATGCTGACACATGGGAGTCTAACTTGTTTCACTTATGAGTGTGGTCTCAAGTTGCATCTATTTACCTACAAAAGTATCAAGTTTACCCTTCTTTATAGCTAGTAATACTCCATTGTATAAAAATACCACATCTTTTTTATCCATGCTTCGGTTAATGCGCATTTGGGTTGTTTCTAAGATTTAATTATGACTGCAAAAACAAACTGAACCAATGTAAATACAACCAAAAGTTGGAACATGAACACAGTTGTGGCATTTGAAGGATTCCGATTTGTAAGAAGTTATTTTGGTGGCTTTTTAAAAAAATCATACTTTACCTGCTATCTAATATATCACTGGATGTTTTGAATATCTGACTCTACATAAGAAAGAAGCATACAATACGCGCTTCTCATATGCTAAGTAAGTAGAAAATGAGATTCGTGTCATAGAGCCAAGTATTTTTAAATTGGAACCACTGGGTGGGTGCGACGGGGGGGATCCAGTGCATTTGACAGAAGACCACCCCGCCTCAGCCCCCAATACCTACCGCTTCCCATTTCCTCTCACGCACAGCACTGAGTCTTGATTTTTTTTTTTTTTTTT